CTTGGGCCAGTGAAGCAACATCCTCCACAACTAGACTGAAGAACAAAAGGACAGCAACTTGTCTGTTCCCCTTCCCCCAATTCCCCAGCACTGTTCCCAACCCCCCAACTCCCCAATAAAAATCTTTAAAAAAAAAAAAAGTTAAGAGGATTGGCTGCCAAGTCCTACATACACAGCGAGGGCCTCAGAGGTTAAATTCATTAAGTCCAAAACAAGGAAGGCCTGGTTTGCTTGTATTAATTTCACCAAAAAAAAATAAAATCTTTTCACTTCTCTGGGGGGGTTGTTTGACTAGCAGGCGGATATAAAACAACGGTTTTTTAGATAAAGCACATTTTTGCCCACATTGGATTAAGTTCTCGTCAACCTGGACACTACTGACATTTGGGGCCAGATAATTCTTTGTTATGCGGGGCCATCCTGTGCATTGTGGGATGTTGCGTGGTTGGAGGAGAGAGTAAGGGATCCAACAGGGACCAGGTCGGTACAGACCTGCTCTCAGGCTGCGCATGGCCCCTGGGGAGACCTAATGGGACCAGACTCCAGGGGCTACCAGGCTGCAGAATCCCAAAGAGGCTCCAACACAGACTTGAAGGGGAAGAAACATGAATGAGAGCTGGGCCTGGAGGGAGGACTCAGGAAAAAGCAACCAGGAAGGGTGGGAAAGTCCTGGATAATAATAATAACAAGAGAAAAACAACAAGACCAAAGATAATCACAAGAGCAGCTACTATTCTTTGAGCCCTCGCTCCCTGCCTGGCACTGGGCAGCCATTATCTCTAAGTCTTGCAGTAGCCATCATCCCATTTCTTGGGGCAGGGAAGTGAGACTAAGGTTAGTTAGGTAACTACCTGAGGTCACACAGCTGGGTGTCAATTTCAGCCCAGCTCTGATGGACTCGGGGGCCGGGGACCTTAACTAATCAGGACACTTTGGCTGCATCAGCCCAAAGGGCAAACAGAGGTGAGGGCTGTGCGTTTCTCCCTACGCTGTAAAAACAACCGTCAGAATCAGCACCTCCCACAGCCAAGGACACTCTGATCAGGCCATCCTCAGGAACACTTCCCGGGAGGGTGTGATGTAACAGAGCCCTCTACACTTGCTACCTGGAAACAGACATGCTTTGGATGCTAGACTCACAGACATGAACTGATCCCCCTGAGGTTTGCACAGGGACGGTGGCCAACCTTCCCTCAAGACCCTCCAGCAGCTATCTGGTCAGAACGTCCCCATGACAAGGCCGCCCTACCTGGTTCTGCTCCATTTCGTCCCCAGGGTGACCTTGGGTGAGGCTCCTGCCCCCTTAGGGTCTCGGGTCCCTATCCATGTAATGAGACCCAGAACAACACAGGTACCCACACATGTATA